GTTTTTTTTTTTAACAAATACGTTTTATTTTCCTTTTTACAACTTCTACTTCTATTTTATGGGCAACACATCTAACCTTAGTTTATATTAACTAAACTAGGGTAGGTTTTCAGTTTCATTGGTTGGATTCGTCGGTTTTTGTTTCTTCAAAGACGGTAGCAGCAAGTTAAGGTGGACCTACGAAGAAGAGATGATATTATCATTGGCAAGACAACAACTACTTACACACAACTCAGACTAATTTTAGGGACAACTAAATGATCCTACAATATATTTGATTCACAAGAAATTTGTAGGATTTGAATATCCTAGGTAGGTGGCCACCGTAAGTTAATTTCTCAGGGTCCCTTTAATTTTTTTACATGCTCCAAGGCTAACTAAAATTAATATGTCGAATCGGTCCAATTCCAGCCAAACCAACTCAATTTGAGTTGGTGCTAGTCAATTCATCAGTTCGAAAAACATCAAAACGTCAAAGAGATAGATAGTTCCAACCATGAGTTGGTGCTAGTCAGTTCATTGGTTCGAAAAACATCAAAGAAATAAGTTCCAACCAACATGTAGGGGTGGGGGATCAAACTCACAACGAGGTTGAAGATATATGTCAATTATCGTTGAGCTATGCTCGCTTTGGCAACACCTCTATTATCATTCTTAAGGTTAATAATTCAATTCACCACTATTGTTGAACTAAAAACAATCTACGGATTGTAATTTATATACAATTTAATTTATTGATTCCAATTTCCAACCATCCTTCTTTTAAGGAGTGGTGTTGCATGTAACTGAAAATTAACACGGTGGTGTTGATATGGACTCGCATAGATTGATATGCCACTAATTTGGTCAATAACTATTTTAATACCCATTAGCAACATGAACTATTGAGATTTGTTACAACTTTAAAAGTATGAAAGCAAAATTGACACATAAAAGTATAAAATCAATATAAAATGAAGAAAATTAAGGAATATATAAAATGAGGGCCATGGCAATTTATTAAAATGGCTATGAATGTGATGTATGCAACAAGAAAGAGGTAAATTTGAAGGAAGGCTATTAATGGGTCAACAGAGATTTCGGATGTGTGTGCACCAGTTAACAGATAAGGCACAAGGAAACCTTTTCTTTTCCCTCGAACTTAAGCATAAAAAGGGAACCAATTAGCAATTCAGTTAGTGAATCCATCCATTTAACAAGACTAGCCAAGGAACATCAGATGTTCATGATTCATGTATGCTATAGAGATAAGAATGCTAATACAAACATCTATTCATCTCGAGTAAACTATCAATTTTCTATCAGGTCATTTTCTCAAATCAAAAGGCCAGTGGATACCAAGAGTACAAGGACCACATGAGAGAATAAAAATCCAAGATGCAAAGAACAGTTTCAAATCAAAACAGCTTCAGAAAGACTTATCTGTATTAATCAATCATCTTCTAGATTGATGGAGTCTTTGAATTTCCCGTACAGAATTTTCTTCAACTCAGTCATCTGGGCCACAATAGAATCCCTTTCTTTCTCAAGTTTCTCCAAGTTCTTGACATTCTCTTCTTTCATTTTTTCCAGCCTGTCTTCCACGTCTTCCTTTGGCACATGGGCATAAACTTCCCCAATTTGGAAACGAACCACCTCGTCATCACTGAGAATCAACTCATTACTTGCATCCTCTAGGTTATCATTTGTTTCCTAAGGAAAATAACCACTAAAAGTGAGTTCAATATGAAATTTATAATAGTAAAACGTGTATTCTGGAAAAATAAGAACACTTAAATAAATTTATAACATAACCAAAAATGATTTTGAAAATGTTAAAATCTCTTAAAAGCATTTTAAAATGTGGATTGTGGAGGAAGTAAACAACTAGTACTTCTTTCCAGAGTGCTCACTGAAAAATAGAAGTTTCTTTCCAGTCATCTCAAACTCACTCAAATTTGGGTACAAATCAAATTACAGGAGACATAAGGTTCAAGTTCTGATGAATTGCTTCACTAACTAGAGTTTCCCAAATACCACGAAATAGCAAAACCACGGAAGCAAATACATTGTGCTCAAGAACAATGTGAGCAAGTAGAAACGTCTTGCATATATTGACACACTATACAAACAAAATTTGAGCTAATGTATCTTTAATGGAATCTATATCACTGATATATATAACCCCTTCTACAGCCTTTCTACTTCCTCCAGTCAAAAACAGGATAAAGATTCTGCCCGATGAAAACATGTTACAATCGAATTGCCTCCTCCAAAAGTACGAAAATCGAATCTAAATAGAAAAGAAAATGGTAGCAAGAAAAAACCCGCAGGAAATTTTAACACCACCACCACCACCACCACAAATGCTCATTAACTCAACGAGGAGAAACATAAGTTTATAACACATCGATATTCAAAACCGATCAGAAATTCAGCGCAGCAATTCGAAAAGCGCGTCAGAAATTTACAATAAAGAGCAAAAGAAAAAGAAATGATCTAATACACAATTCGTGGGATGCAATCAATACCTTGGCGAGTCTAATCTCATCCTCAAGCTCGTGGAAGCGATTGTTCAACCTACTAAATTTGTTAATATTCTGTTGGTCCTCCCAAGTGACCTCCGATTCAGATCCTCCGCCCTACGCACAGAAATTATCAAGAACGACATCGTCAAGAAACGGAAAACGAAGGAATATTTCTCTGATTCAAGGAAAAAATTGCAGTTCTAAACGAATTTGATTAGGGTTTGGTTTACCTGCTGCATGATTCAGTCAATCGCCCGCAGTGAAAAGAAACTGAGAAAGAAAGCTCCGGTAAGAGCGAAAGCGAGGGGAATCTGGTGGAACCGCCCAAATGACGAAATTGACCTTATGTAATATTATTATTAGTTTTTGTTTTTTAATTTGAAGCTCAACCAGTAGGGATCTTCATTTTATCTAATACACTAAAATAATTCTATTATCTTTTTTTTTTCTTTTTTTTTTAAAGAAAAATTCTATCATCCTCTTTATTTATACACATACTAAATAAATACTAAATAAATCATGTATTATTCTCCATCCACCCACCCAATATATATATTTGGGAGAATTAGACATTGTAAATGAAGTTTTATCTCTAGAAAGTAAGCAATTATAAATATTTATTGAAAAATAAATAATAAATAATAAATGAGAAAATTTTTTATGCCAGGAATCCAATCTCCACGAATTTTCTACCGGGAATCTCCGTGAAAATTCGTGGAGAATTTCACAGGGATAGGAAATTAGATAGGGGTGGGATGGGGAAGGCTTCTCTGTCCCTGCTCCACCCCGTTTTATTATAGTTTTTATAACATGGATAAATCGCGTAAAACATCCTTAAGTGAATGTTAAAATGGTTAAAATGACATGTTTTCTTTAAACATGATAAAGAGAAAGAGGAGTGAAGTGATGACATTTAACATCTAAAATGGTTAGGAAACTTGTAAGTTTTTTTTTCCCTTCCTAAATACAACGACATCACGTAAAGGTTTGAGATTTTCGAATTCATGCATGACTTTTTGGTTGAAATTAAGTGTATTGACCAATTGAGTTAAGTTTAGATCGACAGAAAACTTATAAGTTATAACTTATAATTTTTTTTAGTACAACATGTAGAAGTAAGTGACCGAACTCAAAATCTCTTAGATGGAGATATATGACAAATACTACTGACACAGTGGCGAATCCAGAATTTTCGTCCAAGGGGCATAAACATGTTTAGCGAACTTGGTCTCGAACAATACAATTATAAATTGTGGATCTAGAACATTATGTTTGGTAGATTGTATAAAAATAATTCGAATGCATCGATATGTATTTAGTTTATATATTTTGATACTAAATTAGTTAAATTAAAAATGTTTTTCTTTAAAGCTTCCATACTACGTTTAATAGGTTGAACTTAAAGAAAATTATAATAAATTAAAAAATTTTACATCTAATAAGTCTATATATATATAACTAGGTTTATGAACCAATAATTTTTTATTTTTTTTTCTTTAGAAAGAATATGAATTTAATAGATTGTTCAAGTAAAAGATACAATAATACAATTGGTTAAGTAAGGTCGTTTGAACCAATAAATTCTTGAGCTTTAAAAAAAGTCAAATAGGTTAAAGGTTTACTAAACATAAAACTGAGAGGATCTATTAGATGCAAAAATGAAAGTTACGGACACATTTGATATCTTTTAAAGTTTAAGAACCTATTAAACATAACTGTCAATATCTATGAATCATGGCCATGAGGGGGGGTTTGAGTGCTATTAACCACTGGAACACTAGACAACTTCATAATAATTTTTACAGAATATATAAATTAAAAGGATACATTCTGAAGTTGACCTAACGTGCATCCGTCCCTGACTGCTGAGTTATGTTTCATTTGGCTATAATTTAGAAGATTGTTAATAAGAAAGTATTTCTAAGTTATTGGCCATAAAAATAGAAAAATCTCCCAAAATTGATATGAGATGAGAGAGTTATAAATGTGGCGGTAATTAATATTAGTGAAATCAACTTGTTTATTAAATTCAATATAAGTAATAAATTGATACAAATCAATGAAGTGGGATAGTAAGTAAAAGCTCCCCTTGCTATTTATAAATGTGGTTGTAATTAATATTAGTGAAATCAATTTGTTTATTGCTATTTATTTTTCCTTAATTATTTGACATAAATCTAAACACAGGTTTAAAATCAATACCTACCTTATTACATATGCTAAATATTTGTCTATATATAGACATCTAAACATGACTAATGTTTCTATTAAATAATTTATAAAAAAGTTTCAACAAAAACAGTTTTTATATAAAGTTATGAACAAAAACAAATTATTAAAAAATTTAAACATCAAAATGAAATTAAAAATGAGCGTTTAAATACAAAAATAAAATTTAAACCATAAAGTTTTGATAAGTAGATGATGAAGAAATTTGTTTGCAACAACTCAAAGAATAATTTTCTAATATACTAACAAGATGAATTAGGATTTATAATAAATTCTTGTTTTTTTTTTGTTTTTTTACAGCAACAATAAATCTAATTGGTTTAAAATATAATTTATGAATTGAGGATCAAAACAAGTAGGACTGAATAGACAAGATACTCGTTAACTTCTTATTGTAGATTCGATCTCTTTGTCGTCGGAGTAATAAACAAAATTTCAAATCTAAATATTTCAATCCAACTAAAACTTAATATCAAAACTAGGGATGACAACGAGATAGGATGAGGTCGGGAGGAAGCCCAATCCCTACCCCGTCCTTGCAATTTTGGGGCGTAGATTCCCCGACAGGGATGGGTTCCCCTTGTACCCCGATATAATGGACCTTGTTATTAATTGTTTTTATTTTTAGAATTTACCTAATTTTTAAAAAATATTTTAATTTTTTTTTATATAATGAGGCTTTAATAATTCGATAATGTACTTATAAAAAACAATATATTATTAATATAATTAAAAACATAATAAAAATTTAAAAATTTATTATTTAAATATCAAACGAGACGGGGTCTTCGATTCGACCCGTACCCGATCAAATTGAGAATTTTCTGACCCATCGACTTGGGACTTGGCCCACGGATTTTTTGCCATCCTTTGTCAAAACCAACAAAAAAATATTTGTCTTTACCAAATAAAAAAAATAGCTCAATACCATAAAAGCAACTAAAGTTCATATTTTTTTTTNTAAAGTTCATATTTTTTTTTTTCACTCAATTAAAACTAAAAAAAAAAGAAAGTAGCTAGAAATAAAGCTCCAATGAATGCAATCCCAATTCGACATTTTCCGTGCATCTCACAACCAAATCAGACATATTGCAAATCCCGCAGCTCAAATGTCCAATCTTTCGAAAAAAATTAGAGAAATTTCTCAAAACTGTAAATAGGGTTCTTCCGGTTAACGTGGGCAGAGCATTGACGGCGCTATTTATCCACTTCTCCTACCAATTTACCAAAACTCGAACCCCAACTCAGTCTCCAACTCGATCTCTCCACTCGCTTTTGCTCAAACAATGCACGAATCTACAAAATAGTAAGAGCCCCCGTTTCCCCTTTATTGCGCATAATATATATATATATATACTTTTGTTTCTTTAAGACCATGCTATTTCATCGAAACCTCAAAACTTCTTCCCCCTCCCCTGTACTTTTCTTGTCCGCAATCGAAGCAAGAAGGCAACCCCACGTAATTTTCCCCCATTCGGACCAAAACCCATCTCTGAATTTCACCCCAAATCCCTCTTGCTCTGATTTCGACCTCAGATCCACACCTCAGAGACGTCCAATACAATCCATACGCCGCCGTTGCGTCGTCGCTCGAAATCTGCGTCTGATTCTGTGCGGATTTGTAATCTGCGTTTCGTTCAATGTGGTTTAGAGAGAGGGAGTAGAGGGAGAGAGAGGGAAAGAGGGAGATGGCGGGTCAAGTGGTGAGAGTGAAGAGGGAAATACTTGAAACATGCATGACGTGCCCTCTTTGCAAGAAGCTGTTGAAGGAAGCTACGACCATATCTCTCTGCCTTCACACGTGTAAGTTCACTTCTTCTCTCTTTTTGTGTCTTGTGCTCTGATTTTTATTCTCTTGGGAGCTGATCTTTCTTCCATTGTGGCTCTGCCTCTTTCTTCTGCATGTTTTCCCCCATCTTGGTTCCTCTTTTTTTAGTCGTTTTATGATCTGGGTTGCAGTCAATTTTGCTCCTTGTGATTGCTTTTTGGAGCTTTTGCATTTTGATTCGTGAGAAGTAATGTGGTAACGTGGGTGTTTTCTTTTTTCCTTTCCTTCGATCAAACAATTTCATAAATTCTTACGTAGAATCTTTCACCTTGTGCTTTTGATTTCCTATTTTTGGTATTCTAATCACGACATCTGGATCAATATCTGTGTGAAGTTATTCTTCTCTTCCTCAATTTGATTTTCCATGGCTCTTTTTATTGTCTTCTTTAAACAGTTTACTCCAGCTGGGTTAAGTTGTATTTGCTTATTTACTGATCATTTGGTTACGTTACAAACATTCAAAATTTCAACTAATTCATATTCCCAAATCTACCGACTTGATTTCAGTTGATCTACATTCTACTTAAATAACAAAGTAATGCAAGGTGCTTCTTAACAAGCTAATATTTTGCACTTACTGTGGATGTTTTAAGGGTATTTGAGACTTGTTTTCTTAGATGGCTAGTTTACTTGGTTGGAGTAGTCAAAATTGCGAACTTTATAGTAGTTTTTCGTAATGGGGTGGATAATTATCATCACACGAATATGTAATTAAAATTAAGCCGTATAATATTAGAAGTCCTTGAGATATCAATCCTAATCTTCTACAAATCTAAAATTTTCCAGATCAAAAGGTCTCTGTAATGATCTCAGCTATTGATCTTTTCATCAAGATTTCAAGTCTCGGGTTTGCTTACCTGAACATCAAAAAATTGAGAACTCGACATTGATATCTAATATGTTTGGTACTCTGAAAATCTATCTAAAACCATTTACACGTTGCTATCATGCATATGTTTTCAGAAGATTGTGTTATGTGCTTTCTGTATCGACATGCCCAACAATGTTATTGCATTGAGTTTTTCTCACAGGCTACTGAAACCTTCTGCTATAAATGGGATGATACGTCTTCCATTTATTTATTTTTTTAAAATTTTAGTTCTAAAAGTATAGGCCTTTTTGATAATTGTCTTGTTTCAATTTTTTGTTTTTTGTTTTTTAAACATAAGTTTATGAAAAGTAGTTGTACCCATGTTTCGTTTGTTTTATTTTTTTACTTTTATATAATTTTAGCCAAATTTTAGAAACAAAAAACAGATATTTGAAAGCTATTTTTTGTAGTTTACAAAATTTAGGTTAGATCTCAAAAATGTCTTTTTAATTTGAATAGAATGCACAGAAAATTGTTAATAAATAAACATAATTTATGAAAACAGAAAACGAAAACAAAAAAACTTTATCAAACGAGTCGTTAAAGATTTAGTTTACCAGTTAAAAGATGTGTTTTTACATATTTATCAATATTTGTAATTAACTTTGACTTTTGTGATTACTTCCTCAAACTCAGATATCTGTGGCTTCTCGATTGCTAGCTTCTAACACATTAATTTTGGTTGCACATCAGTTTGCAGGAAATGCATATACGAGAAACTCTCAGATGAGGAGGCTGATTCTTGTCCTGTATGCAACATTGATTTAGGCTGTCTTCCTGTGGAAAAACTGAGGTCTGTTTTTATTTTTTAATTTTTATAAAATAACTTCTGTGGTTGTTTACATTTCATTGCATAATTTGACATCTCTTGAGAATTGTTAGGTAAAGTACTTTGTTGGGATGAAATAGCAGTCTAAGTTCCTCAATAGTTGTGAAGGTTCATGCTTGCATACTCTTATTTCTCATAAAGAGTGTAGTTGATGCTATTTGACAGTTGTAGTGTAGCATGGCTTGGGATATTGCGGCATTTTGGTGGTTGATACTAAAGGGAGAGATTAAGAAAGTATAAAACAGAGGACAAAACACAAAGGGATAAAAGGGGGGAGTGGCTATGGAAGAGTTTAGCAGGCTTGCTTTCTCCATCTGCCTACGGTTTTCATCTCCTTTGCCTAGATTATCGCTGCCTCTTCCCCTTTGTTCGTCATTTTATTTCCCCGGAAGTTAGCATCATTCGATCACTTAAGAAAATTGAGGAATGAATGATAAAGGTTTCAAGTGTGACCGATTTAAGGACATGGTCTAGAACCATCTCACAGGCTCTTCCAATCAAACTAACCTAATTTTGGTTTGCTGAAGTAGCCATATGTCCAGGTACTATCGAAGATGTGTGTCGATGTATTACACACTACCTCTTTGTTTTTGGGCTTTTCAGTGGAATTCAGACAATATCGACTTTTACAAGAGATGCTTAGTGGAAAGATTTTAGAGATGTATTGGTACTTGTGCTGAATGTAGGGAGGAATTGAGCTTTACTCAAGCTTTTTGATGTACTGAGAAAAACATTCGACGTTTTCTTTATTAGAACTTCTCACATGAGAAAAGAAGATGGTGTACAAATATTATGACAGTCTTTCGTGATGTAAAATAATTGACTTAAAATCCACAATTATTGAAAGGAGTTCAGTTTGTTGTCTCCTTGGACTATATTTATTACTGCTAAATTTTAGGTCCTTTCTCTTGGCTGTAAATCCATAACGATCCTGTACAGGACTTTAATCTGGTGTTTCCTTGATGAGATTTTGCAATGCTAAAATTTTACATTTTCTTTTGGCTGCTCAGCCATTTAATGTTATTATCACTTTTTAACACGCTAACTGAAAATGATTTTTTTTTCTTCTTTTCGATTATGCTTAAAAGTAGCTTTCCAAGATTTTTATTATTTTATATCAACCCATATGGTGCAAGAATAATCCCACAAAGAAGAATGGAAGATGCGTAACTTTAGATGTGCTCAGCAACCACATTTAGATTTATATTTATTGTTTTCAGGCCAGACCACAATTTGCAAGATATAAGAGCAAAAATATTTCCTCTTAAGAGGAGAAAGATTAGTGCACCAGAAGTTTCACCCTTGGCTTCACTGCCTGTAAAAAGGAAGGAGAGATCGTTATCTTCATTGGTGGTTAACACTCCCAAAGTGCCGATGCAGAGTGGCTCGACTGGAAGAAGATCCAAGAATGTTGCAAGAAAGGCTGCTTCACGAGGATGTAGTTTTGGCATCGAGGAACCACTAAAGAAAGAAGAAGATTCTGGAGAAGATGATACATCAAGTTCCAGCTCTTCCGATTATTTGAATAAAAGCGTTCGGCATAGAAGGCAGGTAAATGGATTCTTCTATTAATGGGGGGTTTCTGTTATAAAATTTTGTTAAAAAGCTGGAAAAAATTCCCACATTTATAGTTGTATGAATACTTCCACTACTGGTAAATGTATGAAATTGTTGCAGGACTCATCTTTGGCTGAGCCTTCTAACAGTGTAAGACATGAGGATCTTGAGAATGATGTAGGTGCCGTAGAAGGAAAAGCCGATCTCTGGACACCCTTAAATTGTTTGGTTGAAGCTGCTAACCGAACGAAGTCTACCAAGCTAAATTTCCAAGTGCCATCATTAGCCAAATTGGAACCATCCGATGGTGAATTCAGTGCACAAGAAACCAAGGAGAAAGTACTGTCACTTGGAGTTCCAAACTACGGATTGTATATGCCCAAAACAAGAAATAAGGAGCATGGAAGCAACCCGAAGGCAAAGGATAAGCATAATGGGACCACATTACTCCCAGAATCCATGAAACGTAAAAGGTTGCGGGCAACCGCTCGTAACAAGGCAGCTGCATCTGGTGAGCTAGGCTCCCCAGCACATGTCGTGCTTGATGCATCAGCTGCGAAATGTAGAAGAAACAATCCAATTTGGTTCTCATTAATTGCTTCAGAAGACAGGTAACACGCTCCACCTATAAACACTTGTGAAGTCGAATATGTATTGAAGTTTCTGCTTGACTGATTTTTTATCAAAAGTTATAGGAAAGGAGGTTTTTCGTTGCCTCAAATATCAACTTCTTACTTGAGAATAAAGTAAGTTCCTCACGTCTTGTTACTTCATTTAGATTTTTCCGTCAATCAAATTAGCACAAATATATAAATTTTTAAATTTAAAGTCAAGTGTCCTTTTTTCGTGGTCTTGATCAAATTTGTATCGGCAAACTAATCATTTGCCACTTTTTATAGCATAATGTCCAAAATCTCTGTGGTATCTTTTTAAAGTCCTGTTGTTTACCTAATATATGTGAAGTTAACCGACAATCACTTGCTAATTACTATTCTGTTCTGACTATTAGTTAATTCATTTCTTACTACAGGGATGGGAAAATGCCTGTTTCTTCTATCCAGAAGTACCTTGTAAAGAAACTAGATCTTAAGAGTGAAGCTGAGGTGAGTTCTCTGTTGCCTTCCCAAAAAAATAATTAGTTTGGAGAACTGATAGAAGTCTTAAAATTTTAACCCTTTGGACATTGTGTTATAATTGAGGATTTAGTTATCGACACAAGTGTTGAGACCTCAACTTTGTGCAGCCGTCGATAAAATTTTGATGCGGATATATATTCTTGAAAAAAATCGTGGAAATATAGAATATACATTAAAACTATCAGTACTTATCTCAAGATATTTTGTTGACCTTTTATATTTCATTCATTGATATTTTTACGATGCTCTAGAAACATCAGTGACCTTTAATATCGATGAACCTGTGATTCATGGAAATATCGATTGATATTTTCTTCCCTGGTTATAAGCTCAAGAGTAGTAGCTTTGTCAATATGTTGGCTTTATTGAAAAGCCTCATAGATTTTTTTTCAAAATGTGTTCTGTTTCCTATTGATAAAGACTCCCCTTTATCCATCTTGGTTTTTCCTCCTGTGAAATTACTGTTTAATCATTTAGACATATGTTCCATCTACTTAATCATGGCATACATAAATGAGATTTTGCATGTGGTCTGAAGTATAGATAAGACTTGCTTTTGATTTCATTTATTTTTTCTTTTCTGCATTATAAAATTGAAATTTCTTGTGGTTTTGATGTGAGGATTTGTTCACTTCGAAAATCTTGGTCATGTTTCTGCTTTAATAGTTGCTGACCATTTTGTCTCGGTGTATTTTTTGGTCCCTATAATTTCGATCCGGTGACATGCTCTCAATCAAGATTTGGTTGCACATGTGCTTTTTTTCCCCATTGCTTATACATTAAAAAAGACAATTCATATATTACTTCCCATATTTTTTAATATGTAGAGAATTATTTGTTACATTCTCAGCACGCAGAGGCTAAATTAGTTTAAAGAAAAGAGAAAGTAAATGAAACCACAGACAGATTATAGGGACCAGACTGCAATTTAACCTTTCTTTCTACCACAGTAAAGTTGCTTTCATTGAAAACTCCATTTTTTTTGGGGGGTGGGGGGGGGGTAGCCTATATTTTTATCTATTATTCTATTGAATTCTGCACAATAAAATGTGAATCATGAAACCGAAACCGAAACCGAATTAGAGTCTCAAAATATTGAACTTGAAACTCAGTAGGCATATATAAATTTGCCCAGTACAACTTTTCAGTGAATGATTGTGCTGCAGTTGCCACATGCCCAGAACTTGAATGTTATTTCATGAGCTTATTTCAAAAGTGCCCAAATACTTTATCATTATGTTCTTTTGAATAATTTTCCTTCACAGGTGGAAATATTGTGTCGGGGTCAGCCCGTGCTTCCATCGCAGCAGCTACAGAACTTGGTCGATTTGTGGTTTCGAACAGCGTCGACGGCAAAGAAAATTCCAGCGTCCATTGGCTCGTCTGCTAAGGACTTTGTGATGGTCCTCTCATATTGTCGCAAAGTCCAGACCCCTTAACGTGCTTCTGAGTTCCCGTCTTGCATCTGTACGTCGTTACATCTTTGCATAGTGTTTAATGAGCATCACAGTTCTGACCTGAAGCCTTCGGGTTCATCATGTTTGCTTGAACATGCAGATGATTATTATATATCTGAATTCTTTGATTGTTTTATTTCATTGGTATACCCATATATAATGAACAATTGGTCCAGTGCTGCCTCTCGTTCCATTTTTGGGTCTCTTTTGATTCTTCTATAGTCACTGGTGTCACTCTTCTTACCAAAATTGTCAGCCTACAAGTTTCTTATATGTTATTTTTGGGTGAAAAATGAAAATATTACAATTCAAGCAGGGGATTTGAACCTCTGATCTATTGTACGGAAGGTTGTTAATCTCTTGACAAAAGTTGTTAATATCTTGACAAATTGAGCTCAGTTCATGTTAATTAATCTCTTGACAAAAGTTGATCTTGATAAATTGAGCTCACTTCATGTTAACTTTATCTTGTTCGTTTACTATAAGTTATAATTTTGTAATGCTAAATGGTTGAACATAATTTGGGTAAGTGATAAGTTATAATTTTGTAATGCTAAATGGTTGAACATAATTTGGGTAAGTGATTGTAACTGAAGAATCTTTTTTCTTGTTTCTCACTTTTTGTTTTTCGTTTCCTAAGAAAAAAACAGAACTATGTTTGGTAGGCGTTTCTTGATTTTTTTTTAATTTAAAAAAGAAACATAAACATGTTTGATAAGCAGGTCGTGGTTCTCTCTAAATATTTTTTTTATTAAAAAAAAGTAGAAATTTTATATGAAATTAAAATTTTCAAATTGAATATTCAAATATTTTATGTTATATTTATTCTTTTTAAAAAATCTACATAATAAACAAAAATAGTTATCACGCTTAAGTTTTTTAGTTGTTTTTAAAAATTCTATATAATAAACAAAAACAGTTATCATGCTTATGTTTTTTAGAAATTAGAGCCGAAAATTTTACTAAATAAACTCTCAATCAGATGTTTATTCATTACTAAATGCTTTTTTCATTTGTACTCTTGAAAGTATTGAGATCTCCATTCTTTATTTCTTCCTCAACCAAACAACCAACTAAACAAGTGCATGAGATCTATAAGTTGTTGAATATTGCACCATTATAAACAATGACACCAGATTTCCCTGTTACAGCACATGGATGGAGAGGGACACGTGGAGAGCAGGGATTGGTGAATGAGGATTGAGCACAAGAAACTGTTTGGCTGTTCTCATATCCAAATTGTGTGGTGCATAGAAAACATCACTTTCCACTGCTCATCACAAACAACTGAGCTTATAGACACAAAAAGAGAACAACAACAACAAAAAAAAAAGAAGAAATCTTTAGATCCGAGTGTTGCAGGTTTTTTGGCCGGAAAAAATGGCTTCCACACTGCTTTCTCATTCAGGGCTTACACTCAAAGGATCACCCAAGCTTCATCCATTGCCGGCCATGGCTGCTCCCAGTGAGTTTCTTCAATCTCAAACACCTTTTTCACTACTTTATTTCATCCCATTGGAGAAAAAGCCATTACTTTCCTTTTCTTCCCTCCAAGAACTGAACTGGGTTTTGGTTCAATCTTTCTCCTTTTAGGTTATATTATCCGTTTAGTCCTATGGAACTAAGCTTGTCTTAATTTGGTTTCTACCCTTTTAAAAGTTTCCTTTTTTAACTACTGTGATTTAGTCCCAAAATATACCATGTTTTCCACGGTGACATATTTTCTTTAGACGTGACATAGTGAGGATAAGTTAATATAAGTTACTACATTAGAAAATGAAAAGATCACACGGGCTTTTCGAATATTCTGATTCTAACTCGTTACATATATGTTTAAATAAGCGCGTGTTTATGTATAAAAAGATATATTTTGAAATATTTACCCATCACGAGCTCAAATCATATAAACTAAAACGGGCCTCCAAGTTACAATCTGGTCGATGAGAATTTGGAGTCTCTTGGTCATATTGGCTCTGAGGTCTAAGTTCGAATCTCCTGATGAATTTAATATAAAAAATCCTTGATGTCTCCTGGATCCCAACCTTGGGATGGGCATGGATATTTTTGGGTACAGGAGAGTAGAGCTTCAACCCCTCCCCTCGTTGTAAAGAAAAAAAAAATCTCATATAAACTAAAACTGTAGTTTTATTTTGCAGGGTTGCTTATGGTGCCAAAGATGAAGAAGGGAGGGATTAAGTGCAAGGTTGAAGAGAGGCCAGAATGTAAGAGCTCAGGAGAAAGCACGGTCTCGGTGACCATGGCGGCGGTGGTGGCAGCTGTGGTGGCAGCAGCGGGTCCCGCGGCGGCGCTGGTGGATGAGAGGTTGAGCACAGAAGGGACAGGGCTGCCCTTTGGCTTAAGCAACAACCTTCTAGCGTGGATTCTTGCAGGGGTGTTTGCTTTGATTTGGGCTCTTTATTTTGTCTATGCTTCATCCTTGGATGAGGATGAAGATTCTGGTTTGTCACTCTGAAATCAATTACAACCTTAATTTCTTAATCAAAATTTGACTTATGATTTCAATTTGTTTAAACAAAAGTGATCATTTGAAATTTAAGGAGGCAGCTGAATACAATTTATGATCAATACAACATTATTTTCCCGTTTTTTCCTTCTTTGATCTGATCAACAATTGACAAAATCATAGTTGACTGTGAGGAAGCCATTAGCATTGCCATTTCCATTGGTGTCGAGACTTTGGAACACTCCAACATCCAAATCCAGGCCTCCATTGCTACACTGATCCACAATTCTCACTGTTTGTTGAGCTCCTGTTTCAGTGTTGGTCACCTGCAAATTGATGCATTTTCTCAGTCTCCAAACAAAAAAGTTCAAACAAAGACACTACCTCTCCATTGATTTATGTTTTTTTTAGGTATAGACGGTTGAAATCAAAATATCATTCTATTAGAGAGGTAGGGACGCCTCAGCCCCTACTCGACCGCCCGCCTTCGCCATTGTCGATCCCACCCAACAGATTTCTATCTCTCCTTTTTTTTTTTTGGCGGGGTGAGCCCTTTCGTCCACCAGGAGAACGATAGTGGGGGATTTCGCATGGCTCGAAGCAAGCACACCAGAACGAAATTCAACGAACAAAACAACTACGTGCAAGCATCGTCGAAGCAAGGCCACCTTAAGTTAGACTCAACAACCCTCTCTCTCTCTCGATGTAGGGGTATGAGTATTCATCTAATTTAATATCCCATGGGTGGGGTTGGATGGTAGCGACAACTAGTTCATTGCCGTGCAACACATCAATCTTTCGAGAGTCTGCACGCTTGACAACTCCCAGCCCCCTACACGATCGCCCGCCTTTCAGCACGTTGGCATTGTTGATCCCACCCAACAGATTTCAAAAATTTTTTTTTGGGGTGAGCCCTTCCGTTGAACAGCAGAATGACAATGGAGGATTTCGTCTGGCTCAAAGCAATCATGCCGCAACTCTGCAAGCTAGACTGTTTCTTATCATCGAAATTCGATGAACGAAATAGCCATGTGCCAGCATTGTCGAAGCAAGCCTACCTCGAGTTCGACTCGACAACCCACTCTCTCTCCCCTGCTCAATGTAGGGGCATGAGTATTGATCTAATTTGATATCGCACGGATGGAGTCGGATGGTAGCAACAACTAGCTCCACGCCACGCGACATATCAATCTTTCGAGGGTCTGCACACTTGACAGCAGCCAGCCCCCTACACAATCGCCCGCCTTGCAGCACGTGGTCATTGCCGCCACCCAACAGCTTTCCATCCCAACACTTTCACACATTCCATATCATCAATATCATATCTCAGTATCTAATTAAAAGAAGAAGTGGGCTTTGTTGTAGGATTCAGGTTCATCATTAAAAATGTTGGTGTGTGTGAGAAACCATTCAGAATCAAGCCATTACCAGTAGGCATTGGCCACAAGAATCCTGGCCATGGGGGCCAACAGGGCCACAGAAGGCAGTCCATCCATATTGGCTGCGCCACTCTAAAGGCTGATTGGCATCCCATGTTGCACAGAAAGCACTCACAGCATTCAAATCCCAATTGATCTGTGGAGCATTGTACAAGTTATATGTTGCTCTCACATTGCTCCCACTTTGCCCTTCCGACACTCTAATTACAAGACAACAACACAACATTATCATACCCAACATCCTCAAACTTTTTGTCTCCATTTATTTTCCTCTTCTCTGTCTCTCTGTTTTTGTGGGTTTTTGGGAAATGGGTGTCAATGGGGGCATGAATTTATAGAGGGAGGGATTGAAATCTCCAAGAATATGTTGAGAATGGGGAAGAATTTGTCATCTCCAACATGATCATAACTGTGTTTTTTCCATGTCTACTCACAATGGCCTGCAGTCGTTTACAACAATGTTACTTGTTGTTGCACAATATATTGGCTCAGAATTTTCAAAGTACATTTTTTTCTCTCTCTCTATGTGCCCATTCAATTTTAGTGTGGTTTTGAGGACTTCGTAGATATAGGGTTTGCTTAGTGTTGTTTGGATTATAGGATGTATTTGAGAATGATGGTAGAATGAGTGATTTTGAAACGAGAGATTTAAGTACAATTGATTGTCATTAACGTATTTTTTTTTTACTTAAATTGAATTCATAATATTAATCACTACAAGCCACCTTGAGGATTGTTCTCAAAATCAAAACCAAAATTTGAAAAAAAAAATCAATCTTTTTAAATTTAGCTAAGAGTTTAAATATGTTTTTTAAGAAGGTGAAAATGTGACAAAATAAATATAATTATTTCAAAAACAGAAAACTAAAAAGAAACGGGGCAAAATGTTTTAAAGTTTGAGATTTTAACTCATAAGGTTTATGAATTTTTTTTTTAATGAGTGCAACAATTATGAAAGGTGAAGATTCGAACTGACAACTTTTAATTGAAGATATATATCTTATCTAGTTGAACTATGCTGTTTGATAAATATTTTGGATTCGGACGTGCAGTGATTTCCATAGAAAGTCAAAATCAAATTTGGAACTCAAGAAGATAAGATTGGTAATTCTTTTTCCTCATAGATTTAATTACTTTGACATTTTTGTTCACTAGAATTGATAATATTAAATAGGTTTGAATCCTTTCTTGTCATCTGCTTTTTATGCTTACTTTGTTATAGTTTTTAAAATTTCAAACGTTCTATTTTCTTTCCTAATAGTTTTCAAAACTATATCTTTTGTTTCTAATTTAACTCAGATCTCAAAAGTACTATTCTTAAATAGTTTAAACGAACCAAACGAGCATAACTGAGCGGTAATTGACATATACTTCCAACCATGAGACTGTGAGCTCGAACCCCCTCCCCAATATATTGTATTAAAAAAAATAGTTTAAACGAACAAAAAAATATAGCTCAAAATAATTTTCCTAAGTTCAATTTTTTAAAATAAAAAAGTAAAAACAACATCAAATTGAACCTATTTTTGTTATCAAATTTTCAAAACCATTAATAAAAGGGCTATTATATATATATATATATATATATATATAAAAGTAAAAGTTACATAATAGCCCTTTATGGCGCTTATATATATATAGGCCAAAATAGCGTAAAAGTTATTTTTGAAGCAAAAGTTTTTAAATTTAATGTTTGAAAAATAGAAGAAATAATGATTATTAAACACATTTATATTTTGTAATAGCAAAACGAGAACAAAAAAATTAGAAATAATTACTAAACAGTTAGTCTTGGATAATGAAAAGAAATAGAGAATGAAATAAAAAAAAACAAAAAAAGGCAAGAAATGAGAAATATTATCGCATATATCCTAAACAAATTGATAAAAAAGAAAAATTAGTTTGAAATCAAAATTTTATTTTCTTTAAAGTGTAATTATCTGAGGAAGAAAAAACGAAGGGTGTAATTAGGCCCAAAACAATTAAATTTTGAAAAACTTTGTGGGTGTTCGAAGAATAAACAAGAGCTAGGTCAAGGTCAAGAATTTGCAAAGAGAGAGCCACTTCTAGAACATTCTTTACTCCCATTTTCTTATAGATACATAGATTAGTTTTCTTTTCTTTTATTTTTTTCCCTCACATGTTTTGGATTTGACTTTTATTTCAAAGTTGTCAGCCAATGATTTATTTGACCATTTTTTTTTAATTTTTTATATACATATCTTCGAGTTCTTATTCTAGTTCTAACAAAAATTTTGAGATTAAATTACAAGAAATAGTTTATATCGATAACACTATTGACTAAATAATGATGTGGCAGACTAATGGTACAATGAAATGGATTTCTAAACAAAATAACTTAACACGATCGGTAAAATAGATCTATATGCATTGCTTCAAAGAGTTATGTTGCGTGTATCACTTTATTTTATCCACCTGTTTATTTCCCTCGATTTTTTCAAAAACTAATTGCTTACAAAAATTGAAATATCAAGAAGTACAAATAGAAGTATAAGAGAGAGTTTTTTGAAATTTTTTGACACTTGTTTGTTTATTGATTTTGTCTATGGTAAATAATTTTAAATCTCTTGAAATCGTGCTTTCAAACGACCATTTTAAAACTTTTTATCTACGTATTTATTTATCGAAGTATTTATAATGAAAGCAATACATACTCTAAAGTTATCTCACACACACGTCGAATTAATCTCAACTTCAAATTCGTAGCTCATAGAATTGAAAAACACTTAGTTCATCATTTATTCATAATTTATTTATCCAGTCGCGCATACATGATTTTCTTTTCCTCATTCTTCTTCTTAGGAAGAATGAAGTAAAAGAAGAATCTCAGCAATTGACAAACTGGTAATTGACGAACATATGGCCACGAGCATGTCCATTTCCATTGGTGTCAATGCTATTAAAAACATTCACATCCAAATCTAATCCTCCATTGGCACATTGATCCACAATCCTTACTATTGCTGAAGCTCTAGTTTCAGTGTTGGTCACCTGCACACATTGCAATGAATTTCCTCAGCTTCCAAACAATTTTTTTAACCCAAATTGTTGATATATTGTTCGTAAAATCAAAACTCGTGAAGAGAAGACTTGCATACATACCCTCAAGCAGCGACCGCAGGAAGCTTGGCCACGAGGGCCGACAGGGCCACAAAAGGCGGTCCAGCCGTAACGGCGGCGCCACTCCAAGGGCTTGTTGGCATCCCATGTGGCACAGAAGACACTTGCCCTAAGATAATCCCAATTGATGTTTTGTGGGTTGTACAAGTGATATGTAGCCCTAACATTTGTGGCACTTTGGGCATTGGCCACACCCAAAAGGCACAAACCCAAAACCAACATCACCAAAATTCCTCTCTCCATATTCTCTCTCCCTCTTAATCTCTGTATCACTAAATGTTTTGTGTTTTTTTTTTTGTGTATGTGTGGTTTGGTTGGGAGATTGCTTTAATTTATAGAGGAAGATGAGGGCATACTTTTCCACTCAAATCTCATTCATTTCTCCCTCTCATCCTATACGTCAAATCAAACATACCGTAATAAAAATGGTATTTATTTCCATTCTTAGCCGCCCTTTGAATTTTCTTCTCGTCAAGATATTTAACACTACAAAAAAAACTAAAAAGATATCTTTTTTATTGAGCTATATTACTCGAATTGGTGGTACTACTTCTCTTCATTATCAACTATGTCAATAATATATATCAATTACTTTGGTGTAAAAAGTGGGGTGGATTTGAGCTCAAAATTTGGAGTTACTTTTAACTCAGTGAACATGCACTTTGAAAAGAAAATTTGATGCGAATATTTGGATCTATAAAATTTCATGTTTCTAAAGTTCGAGTTTGCTCATCGTCTCTATATTGATCCTATCTAGTAAGGTTGTTAAAATTTAATAATAGAATTGTGGGGTGATATATTTTTTAACTTTTTTTTATGAAAATAAAATGCTTTTTTTTAATGAGATGATTTTTATTTTTTTATTATTTCATTTGTATCTTATCTAACTCGATTTAAAAATCTACAAGTGAGATGTTATCGTGAGGAGAGATTTGAGAACGGTATTTTAATTGAAAAGTTTTTTTTATTAGGTACAACATGTGGGATGGGGGATCGAACTCACTACTACCTTCTTGGTTGGAGATACATGTCAATTACCACTCAACTTACTTTGAGATTTAATTGAAAAGTTATGAAACACTTAAAAGAGATAGAAATTGAAATTTTCAAAATATTGGAAACCAAATCCAAGATCAAATGATATATTTAGTTTAATATAATCTTATCTAGAGTTCAAATATTCATAAAATATATATTGAGTTGTAACGTTTAGAATATTTTAAAATTTGCTAAAAGTGGCCAGTTTTCAAGTCTTATCTTTTTTTTTTTTGATCGATTTCAAGTCTATCTTTTAATACATAGTTATTGATTGATAATGTGACTATATCAAATGATTAATAATGTGACCATGTAATTTCAAGGATAAATCCACTTTTTTATCCACCATTAAGACCTAATTATGTATTTGACACTCCAGTACTTAAGATTGTTATTTTTCCAAAAAATAATGACGAAAATTTAAACGCTATTTCATAACTATTTTATTTTTGGTTTTACATATTTAAAAATTAAGCTGAGAAAGAAGATCCAAAATTTTGTAGAGAAAAAAAAATGTGTATCTAAGAAAAGTTAAAAACATACCAACAAAAATTTTGAAAATAAGGAATAATTTTAAAAAACAAAGAATAAAAAAGGAAACGGTCATTAAATAGAGTCTTTAACAACTAAATTTGAGATTTTAAATGTTCAAGAAACAGGATAGATAAAGGGTAAAATTCACAAATGAAAAGCAAACTTTAAAAAATTTAAAGACAAAATAGAAAACAAATAAAGAATTAAACAGCAAAACCATATTCTAAACTTGATTTTAAAAAAGAAAAATTGTATTATAAGGTGGAAAAACTGAGTGGGAAAAAGTCAAGATTGCAAATTAAGCTCCATGATTCAAGTTGGCAGCCAAAGTTGAACATTTGTACCTATTTTTAAATATTTTTATCCACATTTCTATACATTTAAAGAGCTGGATAACAATATTGAATAATATCATATAAATATTGATGAAAATTCAAAAATACCGATTGTGTGGATATAAATATGAGTATTAATTATATAAATTAATTCAAAGAGAGGATAATTTTTATCCATATGTTTAACTTGAGTTAATTTTAATATTAGAACTTTCAACTTCCTTCAATTCAACCTTAAATTTGAAATTAATAGTAAAATTATTTAATACCCTTCATTGATTTTTCTTTTTCAAAAATTTATGATTAGCTATATACAAGGTGCTAGTTAGACCATTAATTTTGTGGGACTAGTTCTTTTAAGTTGAGTTTTAATAGGCCAAACCGAGCATAGCTCAAGTGGTTAATGCACTTATCTCTTATCAAGAGGAGGTTATAAATTCGATCTCTCACCCCACATGTTATACTAAAAAAAAAGCATTAATATAATTGACCCAACCTGAATATAATTCAACTAATTAAAGTATTAATATTTTTGTAAGTGAATATATACCATTTTGAAAAAGACATTACGAAAGCTATAAGTAAGTCATATTTAGAGGAAATAAGTTCAAACCATGGTGACCATCTACCTGAGATTTCAATATTCTATGAATTTTTCTGACAATCAAATATAGTACAATTATGAATTGTGCGTAAGTTGGTCTCGACACTCGCCGATAGAAAAAGAAAAAAGCTATAAATCTTATATTGGTTAAGAAAATATATGGAATAAATAGGTAATGTTTGAATAGTCAATACTCCACCCTTAGTGCAAAGGAAGTGCCTTGACTTGACTTTTAATTCTTAATGGAAATTTATGCTTCGACCCCCAAAAAGTTTGTTTAGGATTCTAATTTCTTCTTCCACTACTTTTTTTTTAAGTCTTTATAGAGTTCATGGCGTTTGTTATATAAATTTTCTTATTTTATATATAGTATTTTCAATCTTATTTAAGTTGTTATTCAAATATAATTGTTTGTTCATACTAAAAATGACTAAATATATTATTTTGGATGTGATGTTTTAAAATTTTATATTTGATCCTTGATAAGTCTTGAATTTTAGGAAAAAGTGTTTACAAATTGTGCATGTTTAGTGTCTTTTGAAATTAAATACATATGTTTCATGCATTGAATCCGGTA